AAACCCTAAAACCCCGAAACCCCCAAGCCCAGGCATGTGGGTCAGCTGCCTGCTCCTCGCATCTCTGCACGGAGGACAGCACTTCGAGCCGAGGACTGCCACTATGGAACCGCATGGGGTCCTAGGGTTTAGGGTTTAGGGTTTAGGGTGTAGAGTTTAGGGTTTAGGGGTTATAGGAAAGGGCTTAGGGTTTAGGGTTTTGGGTTTAGTTTATGATTTAGGGTTTAAGGTTGCGGCTAGACACTGGCACAGGCTTGGGTGCCAATGAATTTTGACCGAGACGTTTTGGCCGAAACGTTTGGCCTTTCCAAAACCATGCACCCTAAAACCTAAACCCCTAAACCCTTAAACCCCTAAACCCTAAACCCAAACTCCCTGAACCCTTAACCCCTAAACCCCTAAACCCCTAAACCTCCAACCATGTTTTCGATTTGTCGGGGGGCTTGGGCTGGTGGGGGCCAGGCCCGGCTGGCGGCCGTTTCTGGCTGGGGCCGCCGTTGAGCTTTAGGGTTTAGGGTTTATGGTTTAGGGTTTAGGGTTTTGGGTTTTGGGTTTAGGGCTGCCTAAATGATTACCAATACTACGGTAATTCCCATGGTGTAGGGTTTAGGGTACTATGATAAAGTTAAGGTTACCATTATGGTTCCTATTAAGGTTGCTGTTATGGTTCCTCTTATGGTTCCTATTATGGTTGATGATATAAATCCTGCATTACCCATAGTAAGGAATATACCATAGTTCCCATAGTTTAGGGTGCTTAAGGTAACGCAAAATTTATATCATCAGCAGTAAGTTGGGGCTCCTGTAGTATACTCCCAAACCTTATTAAAATTACAAAGGACCTATCGGAATCAGCCCTCGGCAATTAGTGCTATGCGCCCGGTCAACGAACCTGGTCAACTGGGTTTTAAGGCTCCGGCGTAGGGTTTGAGTTTTATGGTGGTTTAGGGTTACCCCACCAAGCCCAAGTACCCCGAAGAATCGGGTTTCAACTCCTCTGAATCGTGTCTGGTGGCCTAAAATTGTCTTTGTTGAGTGCTTGAATCCTTGGGGTGAGAAAAGGTTTTGGACAATACATACACCCTAAATCCGAATTCCTCAGCCCTAAACCCTACATCCTCAACCCTAACCCTCAACTCTTGAACCCTAAACCCTAAACCCTAAACCCTCACCCTGTTAGACTGCATTGTCTCTTTTCTGTGAATCCTTGGGAAGGATTCTTCGGCACGCCCACGAGCTGCTGGGCCGAAGTGCGCCGGCGGGACATTCCCATTTAGGGTTTTGGGGTTTAGGGTTTAGGGTTTAGGGTTGCGTTGATTTAGCTTTGGGCTTGGGGCTTTAGGGTGTGTAGGGCTCGGGTCGATCATGAAGGTCAACTTGGATTGCCCTCATATAGGGACCTTAATAATTACCTTTGCTATTTTCGGGGGCTCCTTATAATAAATATACTAAAATATACCACAAAACCCTGTTTTACTTATAAAGGCCCCTACAGTACTCCCTGAACCTTGAAACCCGAAACCCTAAGCCCCAACAGCCTTCCAAGCCTAAACCCTCGAAGCTCGGTTGATACCTTTATGGTTTAGGGTTGTTCCCTCCCGGTGTACAGGTGTGGGCTGGCATCACGACCGGCGTGTATGAGCATGTCCATAACTTAGCTGTCCCGTCCTTGCCACGCGACCGACAAGAACACTGCGATTCTTTTTGAGGGTTTGTGAGGTTTCAGGGTATAGAGCTCTGGGACAACACATGCAGAAGACTCTTGTCAACGGCTTTAGTAACAAAGTGCGCCTCAGAGCCAGCTTCGGCAGGCTCCGGCCACAAGGCAATGCTCCGCGGTGTGCTGACGACTCAAAGGTGCATGCGATGCTAAGCTTTACAGGTTCTGAAGCAGCTTGAGGGGTGGAATTTGTGACCGAATCCTAAGCCTCAACCCTAAAATTCCCAGTGCGGCTAATCCGATGCGGTTTTCTCGGAAGATCTCGAAGGGATACACTCAGTTCTCCAATACCCGACCTTTAAACTTTTTGGGTCTTATATCTTAGTAGTAATCTGAGAGGTTAAGTGTTATTTCGTTGGCTTATTGGGAGAAGTAAGTACATCTTACACACTCAATGACTCATTCCCATACAGCATCTTCAGATTCAGTCGTGTGATTTTGGTTTGAATGTATCTTGTAGATCGTAGCTCCGCCGCATTACAAAATTCAACACCTCGACTTAACCAACCGTCTCAACTCGTGAGCAACCATGATGCAGCAGGTCCTTGCGACCACGGCATGCCAGCAGCTTGACGAACTTGTGATGGTCTGTGCCTCTGGGCATAGTCAGGCTATCAGGATCAGAAAGGAAGTCGACTGCCGAATTGGGGGTTGTATGGTGCAATGTTTCGGGCTAAGGGTCGAGTCATGTGCGCCATAATCGGCAGTGCAGCCTCAGGGCATCAAGCATGAAACGCTACAGTTGCGAAGATGGAGCTGGGAGCGATTGCTGGGGTGTGGAGATGCGATGCCGCTCCTTGACGAACCCCTGCGAGCGCTTTCTTCCTCTTCGGCTGCCCAGGCTGCTACTGCTACTACTCCTGCTGCTGCTGCTGCTACTACTACTACTACTACTACTACTACTGCTACCACTACCACTACCGCTGCTGCAACTGCAGCAGCCGTTACATCAATCGTGGTGGTGCTTCTAGAAGGCAACATGTCAGATGAGGAGTCCTACACACGATGTCTAGTTCATGCTGAGTTAAATATTTAAGTTCACGTGCTTGCTACAACGAACTTATTCCCGCGGCACCGACCCCCTCTAAACCCTGAGATGATCCTAAACCCTAAACCCTACACAGGTATAGTTAAACCCTAAGCCTCGACCCTTGAATCGTACCCCTAGAATCCTGCTTGGACGATGGTCCCTGTCTTGCGTTGGCTTGAAATCATGCAGGCTCTGGACATGTGTCGCAACGTGGCTATATTTGGCCCAAGTTCGAAGAGAGGAAAGGTAGCTGTGAGTCCTTGCGTTCGTGACAAATCGCATCTAGAGCATGTCGCTCCAACAGCTTTGGAGCAAGCGCATGGCCCTTGCTGGAGTTTTGACATGCCTCCTCTGGATGACGGTACCTGGATAACAAGAGAAGGGAACCAGGTAATAGTCAGCCATGAACCGAGGCATTTCAGTATTCAGCTATGTCAGGGTCACCATTTTCGGGAGTCTCCAGCTTGAGGCCGTAGCTGGTCTAGAGTTGCAGAAACTGACGGGCCGTTATATATATATATATATTTATTTATTTATTTGTTTATTTATATACTTATTTATTTGTTTATAGTAGTCATCATGCTGGCAGAAACAGTCGTCCTAGTCGGAACCTCGCCAGCCGGCGTACAATCATCCACCAATCAGCCAAAGGCTGAAACCATCCCAGATGAAAGAAGCCACACACGGACACAGCAATGATCCACTTACCTCCTAGCATACAAAGAGTTGAACGGCTGTCTCAAAAACCCAAACCCCAAGCGGCCCCACTATACTAGAGTGCACTATACCCTAAACCCTAAACC